TAGACTTTCCCGGAAAGTGATATTTCCATTTTATGATACAATTCCCGTTTTTATGACAATCTACTTTCGCAGCCGAAATCTACGCACCGAAGTCGATAATCACTTCCCGAAAAGTAGAAAACCTCTACACTTTCGGAAAGTAGACCTTTCGAAAGCATTTTTATGATACAATTTCCCGTTTTCTATAAAATCAGGTAATATTCCCCAAAAAAATAAAATCTACTTCCCCGAAAGTCGTCTACTTTCCCGAAAGTAGAAAATCTATCTACTTTTCGGGATAAATAACAACTTTCGGAAATAGATATTTCCCATTTTATGATACAAATTTCCGTTTTCAGATGATAACAAGCAAATTAGTATTTAAATTCGAAAATCTTCCCCGAAAAGTCGATAATCTACTTTCCCGAGAAGAGATATCTACTTTGGGAAGTGAATAACCAACCCCGGAAGTAGATATTTCGATTTTATTACCATGCACAATCTCGCAAACACGTATATTTCCCCGAAACTCGAAAGTCGATAATCTCCCAAAAATATCTTTCGGGAAGTAGATAATAATTTCCCCATTTCCCTGTACAAAATTCCCATTTTCTATGATTATCTCTCGCGGAAGTAATTATTCCCCAAAATCTACTTCCCCGAAAAGTCGATAATCTACTTTCCCAAAAAGTAGAAAATCTATCTACTTTTCGGGAAAGTAGATAACCAACTTTCCCGGAAAGTAGATATTTCCCATTTTTTATGATACAAATTTCCCGTTTTCTATGATTATCTACATCGCAAAATTAGGTAATATTTCCCCCAAAATTCGAAAATCTACTTCCCCGAAAAGTCGATAAACTACTTTCCCGAAAAGTAGAAAATCTATCTACTTTTCAAGAAAGTAGATAACCAACTTTCCCGGAAAGTAGATATTTCCCATTTTTTATGATACAAATTTCCCGTTTTCTATGATTATCTACATCGCAAAATTAGGTAATATTTCCCCCAAAATTCGAAAATCTACTGCCCCGAAAAGTCGATAAACTACTTTCCCGAAAAGTAGAAAATCTATCTACTTTTCAAGAAAGTAGATAACCAACTTTCCCGGAAAGTAGATATTTCCCATTTTTTATGATACAAATTTCCCGTTTTCTATGATTATCTACATCGCAAAATTAGGTAATATTTCCCCCAAAATTCGAAAATCTACTTCCCCGAAAAGTCGATAATCTACTTTCCCGAAAAGTAGAAAATCTATCTGCTTTTCGGGAAAGTAGATAACCAACTTTCCCGGATAGATATTTCCCATTTTTTTATGATACAAATTTCCCGTTTTCTATAATAATAACAATAATAGTAATTAACGGTTTATTGAAAAATTTCTGCAGCCCGAAGGCTGAAAATATACATTGGACATAAATGACTTATTACATACATTGGTGGTTTAACAAAAGCCTTCATTAGAGAAAGGTAAAGGAACATACAGTGAACATACAGATTATTGTAGGTGTTGAACAGCAAACACGTAGTGTAGTAACTCCCTCACAGATGGTGTTATGCGGGGCCTCACGTGGTGTAGTAATTCCCTCACAGATGGTGTTATGAGGGGCCTCACGTGGTGTAGTAATTCACTCACAGATGGTGTTATGAGGGGCCTCACGTGGTGTAGTAGTTCCCTCACATATGGTGTTATGAGGGGCCTCACGTGGTGTAGTAATTCCCTCACAGATGGTATTATGCCACTTATGGGTTTTCGAGGTCATTTCTTGGTGCTTGTGTATTATTCTGGATGTACTTAAATAGTTAGGCACATTAAATTTTAGTTCAGAGAGAAAGAGTATTTTTTGGACAAAAATCCTTTAAGGCATAAGGCTTACAATTTTTGTCAATTTCGGCCAAAAAATTGATTTTGTTCCAAATCTCAGGAAAGGTACTCCTGAATGTGCTGCTTAAGGATCTGTAAACCAAAATTTGATATCTGCAATATTACTTATTCAAATGACTTGCAAAATTAATTACAATTTTCTAAAAGCCATTTGAACAAGTAATAATGCAGATATCAAATTTTGGTTTACAGATCCTTAAGCAGCATATTCAGGAGTACCTTTCCTGAGATTTGGAACAAAATCAATTTTTTGGCCAAAAATCCTCTAAGGGGTAAGCCTTACAATTTTTGGCATTTCGTCCAAAAATAGATTTTGATCAAAATCGCAGTACAGGTACTCCTGAACATGCTGATTAAGGATCTGTCAACTAAAATTTGATATATGGATTATTGCTTGTTCAAATGATTTTTAGAATATTTTAATTACTTTTACAATGCTAATTACTCGCCACTTATGGGTTTTCGAGGTCATTTCATGGTGCTTGTGTACTATTCTGCATGTACTTAAATAGTTAGGCACATTAAATTTTAGTTCAGAGAGAAAAAGTATTTCTGGCCAAAAATCCTTTAAGGCATAAGGCTTACAATTTTTGTCAATTTCGGCCAAAAAATGGATTTTGTTCAAAATCTCAGTATAGGTACTCCTGAATGTGCTGCTTAAGGATCTGTTAACCAAAATTTGATATCTTGATTATAACTTGTTCAAATGGCTTTTAGAAAATGTTAATTATTTTTGCATTGCTAATTGCTCGCCATTTTGGGTTTTCAAGGTCATTTCTTGGTGCTTGTGTATTATTCTGGGTGTATTTAAGAAGGTAGGCACATTAAATTTTAGTTCTGAGAGAAAAAGTATTTTAGGCCAAAAATTCTGTAAGGGGTAAGCCTTACAATTTTTGGCATTTCGTCCAAAATTAGATTTTGCTCAAAATCGCAGTATAGGTACTCCTGAACATGCTGATTAAGGATCTGTTAACGAAAATTTGATATCTGCAATATTACTTATTCAAATGACTTGCAAATTAATTACAATTTTCTAAAAGCCATTTGAACAAGTAATAATCCAGATATCAAATTTTGGTTAACAGATCCTTAAGCAGCACATTCAGGAGTACCTATACTGAGATTTTGAACAAAATCCATTTTTTGGCCGAAATTGACAAAAATTGTAAGCCTTATGCCTTAAAGGATTTTTGGCCAGAAATACGTTTTCTCTCTGAACTAAAATTTAATGTGCCTAACTATTTAAGTACATGCAGAATAGTACACAAGCACCATGAAATGACCTCGAAAACCCATAAGTGGCGAGTAATTAGCATTGTAAAAGTAATTAAAATATTCTAAAAATCATTTGAACAAGCAATAATCCATATATCAAATTTTAGTTGACAGATCCTTAATCAGCATGTTCAGGAGTACCTATACTGCGATTTTGAACAAAATCTATTTTTTGGCCGAAAATGCAAAAATTTGTAAGCCTTACCCCTAATGGGATTTTTGGCTAAAAATACTTTTTCTCTCAGAACTAAAATGTATTGTGCCTTACTACTTAAATACATCGAGAATAATACACAAGCACCAAAAAGTGACATTGAAAACCCATAAGTGGCGAGTAATTAGCATTGCAAAAGTAAATACAATTTTCTAAAAGCCATTTGAACAAGTAATAATCCAGATATAAAATTTTGGTTCACAGAGCCTTAATCAGCATGTTCAGGAGTACCTATACTGAAATTTTGAACAAAATCTATTTTTTGGCCGAAAATGCAAAAATTTGTAAGCCTTACCCCTAATGGGATTTTTGGCCAAAATACTTTTTCTCTCAGAACTAAAATTTAATGTGCCTAACTACTTAAATACATCCAGAATAATACACAAGCACCAAAAAGGAACCTTGAAAACCCATAAGTGGCGAGTAATTAGCATTGCAAAAGTAATTAACATTTTCTAAAAGCCATTTGAACACGTAATAATAATCCAGATATAAAATTTGTGTTGACATAGCCTTAATCAGCATGTTCAGGAGTACCTATACTGAGATTTTGAACCAAATCTATTTTTGGCCGAGAATGTCAAAAAAATTTTGCCTTACACCTTTGTAATTTTTCGACCAAAATATTCTTTTCTCTCAGAATTGAAATTAAAGCAGTTTAACTAATAAAGTATTTATAGAATAACACATTAACACTGAAATCGCACTTTGGAAACCCATTGTTGGGACCACCGCCCCTGAGCGGGCTTCCGTGGGGCATTGCTGCCTCTACGGAGAGTCTCTGGGGGTGCCGCTGCTCCTGGGAGGTCCCTTGGGGGCGACTCCGCCCCTGGGAGGTCCATTGGGGGCGCCTCCGACCCTGTGAGGGTCCCTAGGGGCGCCGTGGCCAATGGGAGTTCCCCTGGGGATGGTACCATTCCTAAGGAGGAGGGTCCCTGGGGGCAGCTGCCTGCCTGCCTGCCTTACATCTATACACACACACGCACACATTATATATATATATATATATATATATATATATATATATATATATATATATACACACACACACTAGCAGAAACGCCGCCCTCCGGGCGGCTCATTCGCTAGGCCACGGTAGGACACCACCCTCCAGGATGTTCCACATTGTGTCACTGTTCAGTCCCCAAAACTTTTTCTTCCATCAATAGTTCATTAACGGTGTATGTACGTTCCACCATGTTTTTTACTACAACGGTACAGCAAAGTACATATTTTTAGCTTTAAACTCTTATTTTCTTATTGTGTAATCATCACTACATATAACACCACCCATCATCACTACATATAACAACATTCATCATCACTACATATAACACCATCCATCATCACTACATATAACACCACCCATCATTACTACATATAGCACCACCCATCATCACTACATATAACACCACCCATCATTACTACATATAACATCCATCATCACTACATATAACACCATCCATCATCACTACATATAACACCATCCATCATCACTACATATAACACCACCCATCATCACTACATATAACATCATCCAGCATCACAAAAACACACACACACACAGACATACTTCTTTGTGATATATATATATATATATATATATATATATATATATTCTTCTCTGTCTATCTATATATCTATTTTCTACCATCCTAGGAGGCGATTCAGGACAAAAATCGTCTGAGGAGGAGCTGGTGGAGATAGATGAACAAGAGGAGATGGTGGAGGAGCCGCTCCTCGTGGTGGAGGAAGAGTTGGTGATGGTGCGGGAGGCGGTGATGGAGAGGATCAGGAGAGACAAGGACGACTCGACCCGTCTCTCTGTTAAGGAGACTTTTGTGGTAGGTGGCGTGTTCTCTCTCTTTCTCTTTATACATGTCTGTCTATCTATAATTATCTCTGTCTTTCTATCTCACTTACTCTTTCTCTCTCTCTCTCTCTCTCTCTCTCTCTCGTAGTACAGGTATTGTGTCCCACAGGTACATCAGAGTGCCACGGGCCGGGTGGTGTTGGTGGGGGTGCTGGGGTCATGCCTTGGGCTTCTGGCTGGATTTCTTCTGGCTCTCCTCCTGGGTTGCTGCTACGTCCGGTGTAGGTGAGGAGAGGGAGAGAAAGAGGGGGGCTGGTGAATGAGAGAGAGGGGGATGATTAACATTTTACTTGGTTTAACTAACTCTAATTTAATTTAATCTAATCTAAATTAAACTAACCAAAATTAAAGCTGCTCTACTATTCATTCAACATAACATATCCTAACCCAAGCACTCATAACCTAACATAACTTTATCTAACATAACCTTAACTACCCTAATTTAAACATGACCTAACCTAACCCAACTTCACCCACAGCCGCGGAAGAGCTCTCGAATTTAACAAGAAGCACAACACCTACCAGAGCGCTGACGTCATAGACGGGGCCGTATGACGTCATTAGTGTCACCATGGCGACCCTCCCCTCACACTCATCTTTAGTTCAGCCCCGTCAAGCCCACCCTCACCAGCTACCAAGTTTATTATGATATTCTGAGGTGCTATATTACCTATGATGTCTTGATCGGTGTTAGTGCCGATACGTATGCCGATATTGGTGTTTTGTGGCCTTGAGTTTGTGGTTGATTTACGACTGACCGTTCGTACTCATTTGTATACTAATTTACATATATATTTACACACTTACGTATAACCACATGATTGGCACTTACATTTGTGTACTATTTTCTGTATAATATTTATAGACCGTAAATTTCCATACTAACTTCCTAGTGGTCATTCACACTCGTACATACACTAATTTACCAATGAACATACTGCACTGTTCTCTGGCCGTTTAATCAAATTCCTTTAACTTCTGGGGTGTCTAATCTTCAGGTGAAATAAACTTGTACCTAAGCTAACATAATGTGAAATAATAAAGTAAACACCAAGTCGAGTTTTATCAGTGTGTGTGCTTGCGTGTGTGTGTGTGTGTGAGTGCGCGTGTGCGTGCGTGTGCTTGTGTGTGCAATGTTTGTATAAAAATAATTTTATTTATGATTCCTAGCATATAGTTATATACAGTACTGTGTAAGTGTATGCATACAGTATACTGTATATAAATTAACTATGTAATAATGTACCGCACAAAAAACTACAGTATATCTCTACCTAATCCTACAGTCCTCTTCAGCTTTACCAACCAACAAGAAGCTTTAAAAAAAATTGTTCTTCAGATTGTTATCGTGGCTGTCTGCTATCAATGATATCGTAATATTTTATCAATGAACAAAAAAACTGGTGGTCTCCTGATATACAGAATTAATCAAGTTTATTGACGTAATTAATTATATTGTATTCATGTTTGTACTTAAATGTCGTACGTAAATGAAGGAGTTATCGTAGATGTGATTATTATTACTATTACTACTTAAATTACTGCTAGATGTATGTTGTTTTAAACCAATAGTATCATATTAATATCTTTAAACCTATTTACCCATTAGTAAACCAATAGTATTCTGTGTAATTATTATCTGGCATAAATAAAATGTTCAGAGCGTGAAATAAATTTGAACCAATAAGCTCTTTTCTTTCCCTTGACGTCACGGACTCAGTGACGTCAGGTAAATTATGTGAACCTTTTCCCGGGTAGAGCGGTGACAGAGAAAGGGAGGAGAGGGGATGGTGAGAGAGAGAGAGAGAGGAGGGGTGGTGAGAGGGAGGAAGGGAGGGAGGGGAAGGGAGGGAGGGGAGGGGAGGGGGAAGGGAAAGGAGAGACAGGGATGGGCGTAAGGGGGGAGAGATGAGAGGCCAGACACAGCTCTATGGTCGAGACAAGATGAACAGTTCTAAGGAATGAATCACAATTACCAGATGGTAGATAAATAAACGTCTTTTGTTATTTTTTTTATATAAAACCAACAAAATCTCTCTTTACATTAAGTTAAAAGTCATAAGACAATAAAAAAGACAGGAAATCATTAAGAAAATCCACCTTACATACTCTCCCTTGATTCGGGACAATAAGATAATTTAGTTAATTGCGTCTCGTGTTTATATTCTACAAGATTAGTGAGTAATATTTATAAACTCTTACATACTTACTACTTACCTAATCCCCCCATACATCAAGTACAGTGCTTCTACATACATGATGCCAATATCCAAACACTACCTTATTAGGAAATCGACAATATATCACTAATGTAAAATCTATACGAATTCAGTGTTATATTGTGGATACACCGTAAATATAAAAAATAATAAATCCGTGTTATATTGTGGAGTATTATTTCACAAGCTGTATCAACATAAAACTAAAAGTCAAAGTTTCAATTGTTTTTTGCCATGAGATGAGGAACCACAGGAAACTTTTTCAATGTGAAGTGTATAGACACATTAGTTTCAGTACCTTGGTTAATGTAAACATCACACGGCGGAGTAGAGACTGAGCAAGTGCTGTGTTGCTTCCATCAGCCAACACAGACGAGGAATAACAATAGTGTACACAACCCGGAGTTATTTGTGGAGTTGTATGTTGTATAAATAATAGTTGAAACGTCTCACTTTAATACAACACCGCCATATCCCGTCAGTTATTCAGGGTTAAGCATACAAATTCCAGTCTCGTGTATGCTAGTGTTTATATATCAGTAACTACCTGTTGGAGTGTGTACTCTTGAAGATTCCAGCTCATAACTTCCAGTAGCAACTAGCCATCAATAGGCAGCTTTATTTAGTACGTGAGCTAGCTAGTCCCTTCCTTAATTCTGATCATTCAAACTAGGGCTTATTACGGGAAAGATAATCTGGTCGAGAAGGCATCATCTTGAGGTGTTCGTCTTCCTGGGATGGAGGTTGTGGAGACGATGGAGGTGATGGCTGATGTGAGACGCCCGAGTCAGCACCAGAAGGGGTTTGTGGAGACGATGGCTGATGTGAGACGCCCGAGTCAGCACCAGAAGGGGGTTGTGGAGACGATGGCTGATGTGAGACGCCCGAGTCAGCGCCAGGAGGAGGTTGTGGAGACGATGGAGGTGATGGCTGATGTGAGACGCCCGAGTCAGCACCAGAAGGGGGTTGTGGAGACGATGGCTGATGTGAGACGCCCGAGTCAGCGCCAGGAGGAGGTTGTGGAGACGATGGAGGTGATGGCTGATGTGAGACGCCCGAGTCAGGTTGTGGAGACGATGGCTGATGTGAGACGCCCGAGTCAGCACCAGAAGGCTTGCTAGAGGGGCCTAAGACCTTCGTCGATTCCATCAACTTTTTCAAATCACTGACAACGTTTAATTTATCTGAGACATGAGAGATAGAGTGATCATAAGATTTCGTTGACAACTCTACCATAGCGCCGCCTGGGACAGGAGACTTCCTCTCGCTTATGGCGGGGGAGGAAGAGACAGAAGTTGTCCTGGCTGGAGTGGAGGAGGAGGAAACGGAAGGTTCTATCCAGGCTGAAGTGGAGGAGGAGGAGACGGACGGTTCTATCCCGGGTGGAGTGGAAGAGGAGGAGGAGACAGAAGGTTCTATCGCGGCCGGAGTGGAAGAGGAGGAGGAGACAGAAGGTTCTATCCCGGCTGAAGTGGAGGAGGAGGAGACAGAAGGTTCTATCGCGGCCGGAGTGGGAGAGGAGGAGAAGGAGAGAGAAGATACAGTCGTGGCTGGGGTGGAGGAGGAGACGGAAGGCCCCGTGCTGGCTGGCGTGGAAGAGGAAGAGGAAGAGGCGGCGGAAGATTTCGTCCCCACTGCAATGGAAGGATAGAAGGAAGACTAACCCAATGTAAATAACAAAAATATTGCAAATAATAATAATCAATAATAGCCATAAGTGATATAGTCTACAGTCGAGAGCACGAAATTAAAAGACCGAAATCAATCGCTATTTTAGTATTTATTTATATGTCTGTGTATACGTCTAGTCTAGTTTATAGGATCAATATTTAGTCAAACATTAAGGGTATCAGTTCATAGCCATAGCCATTTAGGACCACTTAAATATTAGAGACCCGGGTTTATTTCAACCTAACCTAACCAGAATTGTAACTTTTTTCTGACTTTTTCCTTATAACTTTTGTTTTTCCATTCACCCGTAAAACCACTCCCTCCTGTGGCTTCAAAACTCCAACAGTCTTGACCTATTGACTTTTATCTCCACCAGGTCAGGTCATTCAAGGAGCCATTGTCATGACCCAACAAGAAGTGGCAGTCATCCTTCACAACTATCATAATAAAACCTCTATTTAACGAATTATACAGAGAGGAAAGTCTTTAAAAAAACAAGTAAAAAAAAAAAAATAATATTCCATTAATTAAAACGGGATTAAATTTATCAATCCAGAATGTGAAACTAAAAACAGAAGTTAAAAATGATAACCCGAGCAATCACCTACCAGTTGTTTCCATGACCATCTCAGACACGGTATCCATAATAACTCTACTGACATGTGGGAGAGGGTCGACAGGTTCCTTGTTCTTGAGTGCTGGTACTGTAGGGGAGGAGAAGGTAGGAAAGACAGGAGATAAGTCTATTTGGTGTTACTTGGTATGTACAGTCAACTACTCAAATCCATTCCCCTCTCTTCCTGAAATCCGAAGCCAGAGATTCATGATTCGGTGAACTCGAAGCAGGAGATTGATACATTCTCCATAAATGCTTCGGATTCATGAGTCTAAATTTCGTGATTCAGGAGAAGCGACAGGACTTTAGTGGGTGACTGTACAAATCTTACGACACTTCAAACCCCCTCCACCAAGACCACTTAAAATATCCATCACAGCACATAAAATCCCCCCTCTCCCTCCATCTTGACCACTTAAGCCCCCTCACCAAACCCAAGCCCCCCCCCCTCTCCATCTCAACCCCTTAAACTCCCTGTACAAAGACCACCTACTCTCTAGGGCGAGGACAGTGGCCGCAGTGACCACCAGCAGGATCAGCGCTGATACTACGAAGCACCAGGCTATGCGCTTCTGTTTACGGAGGGTCTTCTCAAGGGCCCTTATGTCTTCAGGAGTGGTTGGCCGGGACGAGGTATTCCTCCCGCCAGACCAAGGTGTCCAAGGAAGCGGCGAAGAAATTGTGGCTGTGAAAAGAAGGTAGAGTGGGTATTGAGAAGAGGAGCAGGTGGAGGGGTAGAGAGGGGGTGGTGGAGGGGTAGAGAGGGGGTGGTGGAGGGGTAGAGAGGGGGTGGTGGTAGAGACGAAGATAAAGAGGATGTTGAAGGGGTAGATGAAGGGGTAGATAGGAGGTGGATAGAAATGGAAGGAGGACATACAAGGAAAAGGGGACATACAAGGAAAGGGGACATACAAGGGAAAGGGGACACAAGGAAAGGGGGACATACAAGGAAGAGGGACATACAAGGGGACATACAAGGAAGGGGGACATACAAGGAAGGGGACATACAAGGAAGGGGACATACAAGGGAAGGGGGACATACAAGGGAAGGGGGACATACAAGGGAAGGGGGACATACAAGGGAAGAGGAACATACCTGAGAACGGGGAGTTGGAAAAGTTGATCGAGTATTGAGTGGCGCTGGTCTCGTCAGGAGGGTAGTTGAGGGTCCCCACTGCCTCCTCTAAGCTCTGGCTGGCCCATCACACGCCATCAACGCCAATATATAAAGGCCAAAATAAATACACGAAAAAAAATCACGAAAACAAAAAGCAAATCATTGTCATCCCTGTGAGATACGTCAGTGGTGGCTTGTTACAACTACTACGTATTACTTGTCTTTTTTTATATACTTAATGCTTATAACTGTTGTTGTTCAAGTATGTTTGTCTCGTGTGTGTGTGTTTTGTGTCAACAGTTCCTGGGATTAAGTCAGATTCTCAAGATATGAAAGGTCAAGACAAACAAAGCCTCTGCGACTACACTTAAGAGCTTGAGATGTGCTTAATATTTCCTCCTCACCTGGCATCAGAACCCCGACATGATATAAACTGGGATGAACTATCTTCAGCGGAGCCTTGACCTAACATGGGCTGGTGTGGTCTGAGATCGAAGCCTTGACCTAACATGGTGCGGTCTGATTTGGTGTCTGAGCCTCGATCTGACGCGTTCTCGAAGTTGAGGGCGAGGGGGCGAACGAAGGGCATGAACTGTGGGCTAGAGTTAATGCTCGCCTCCTGTGAATACCTGAGGACGATACGATTCTCTGGTCAAGCTGTGTTAAAGAGGCCAAATGGTCACAGATGATCACAGTCACAGAAGCTCGAATAATCAGAAAAACTCAGTCAGAAAGATCACACAGTCAGAAATGGTCATTCACAGGAACTCAGTCAGAGGTCAAATTAAAAAAAAAAAGTCGTCCGGAAAAGATCACGGAGCCACAAATGTCAGAGCAATCATAAACTCAGAGTGGCAGAAATATACACTAAAAGGTCAAGGTCATTATACTGTACACGCTGCTAACACAACATCAATAGTGACCCTTTCCTCGTGGCAGTCATTAACAGCCTCACCCCACCCTGCAATCACCTTTCTATCTCTCCCTTATTTCCTTCTCTCTTCCTTTCATCCCCTAATTTACTGAACTCTCTCTCTCTCTCTCTCTCTCTCTCATTTCCTTCTCTCCCTTCCATCCTTTCCTCCTTCCATATACTGACCCACCTCTCTCTCCACCTCACTCCACCAACACACCCACCTCTCTCTCCACCTCACTCCACCAACACACCCACCTCTCTCTCCACCTCACTCCACCAACACACCCACCTCTCTCTCCACCTCACTCCACCAACACACCCACCTCTCTCTCCACCAACACACCCACCTCTCTCCCTCTATCACTGGGTGCTCCTCGTTGCCAGTGGTGGTGTTCGTCAGGGGAGATGGTCGCTGCTGGTTCCGCTGCGGTTCACTCTGGCCATCAACACTGCGATTCACCAAATAAATCTCACTCGGGTCTTGTAGATTTGGCTTCTCAGAGTCAAATGTTATAGTGCTGTAGGTGTTAAGGTGACTCCAGGAAAATTGAAATTCTTTATATATGAACAAATTTAAATTACAAGGACTATTTGTTATTTACTTGTTTATTACTGAACATAAACGTACGAGGGAGCTTTAGTCAATACGTGAAATACTAAATAATCTTGAAAAAATTAAGAAAATAATAATGTGTTTTTTCCTCCATCATCATCATCCACAGCTTAACTTCACTCCCTACACCGTTCTCAATGACATCAAATTCCCTATCCACCTCCACTCCCCTCTTATCCACCCCAATTCCCTACATCCACCCCATTCCCTTTATCCATCCCACTCCCTATCCACCACACCCCATTCCCTATATCCACCCCACTCCCTATCCACCCACTCCCCATCCATCCCATTCCCTATCCACCTCCACTCCCTTCTTATCCACTCCCTTTATCCATCCCATTTCCGCCCTAATCCAGCCCAGGTAGTGTAGATGAGTGCTGGAGACTCACCTGTGGTCGAAGTAGGCAGGTGTGAAGAAAGGTTGATCAGGAAATGGCGTACTATGTGACTCATCGTTGCCTTCGTTGTCGGTCGCTCCTGTCGGGGGAGGTAACGGGGGCAGTGTAGGAGGTTACTATCTATCCCAATTCACCCTAATCTCACTCAACTCACCCTAATCTCTCCCCTCTCCCACCCCACCGTCAGGCACTCAGGTACTCACTCAGAAGGTGTCTTGGTGAACCCCCAGCAGAGATCACCTTAATGGCAGGATGTTTGCTAGTGTTCCTCGGGGTGCCGTTAGCTCTGGACCCTGGGGAGTGGAAGGTTGATGTCTTCTGCTGCTGCTGTTGTTCCTCCTCCTCCTCCTTCGGGGTGCTCTGGGGGCGGAGGGGTGAGGTGAGGTGGTGAAGAATAAGGTGTTGAGAGAGAGAGAGAGAGAGAGAGAGAGAGAGAGAGAGAGAGACGGCAGACTGAGAGAAACAGACATCATACAGAGAGAGAAAAATAGAGACAAAGAAAGAGAAAGATTAACTGAAAAGATCATCCATAAAGGAGAGAGACTGAGGCATTCTCTTCACTGCTTCATGGAGTCGAAAGGAAGGAAGGGAGGGATGGAGTTTTCGGTGTTTAGTTCTACCACCTATCTTTGGGTAAAAAAGGAAGGGAAGGAAGTTTTCGGTGTTCAGTTCTACCGTCTAAGGGAAAGGAAATGGTTAAAGCAACACTCACAGGTGATGGGTAAATGAGGTCTATGTTTAGAGAATTGAATGAGTAATAAATAATCTTATCATGACCTCCATCCTCCCCTCCTACAGGATAATGGGTACAGTCCCTTTACTTATTTAATAGAGATACACCGAAACGTAAGTCAATGGCTTACCTACATTGCATAACACCAAAACTGTAAAGACACCTTCCCTTCAACAGTCTTCTATCCTCTCTCACCTTCAAATTCCCATGGAAGTGATTGATCGTCGAGGGAGTAACGTAGTAGGTGAAGGGAGATCCGGGGCTGCGTTGAGATCCTACTGCAGACTTTGACCCGTGATTCTGAGGGGACCTAGAGCGGGTTAAGTTCGATTTAGCTGTTGTGAAGGAGTCCTCATTACTACTTCTATTGGTCGGGGTTACTGATCCACGGCTAACGTCTAGTAGTGGTACCCCCAAGTCCTTCTCAGGTGTCCCCGGGGCGGTGGTGGTGGCAAGGGGGGCATCGCTCTGGTTACCTTCGGGGTTCTGGGGTCTCTGGCTTCTGGGGGTGTCAGGTGGGTCCCAACTGTACAGTACGAGACAGAGAAGCGATGATACCGATAACATACAGGTGTGTGTGTGTGGAGGACATGGCACTAGGGAGGACAGCATGGCACTAGGGAGGACAGCATGGCACTAGGGAGGACAGCATGGCACTAGGGAGGACAGCAGGGCAGTGGCACTAGGGGGACAGCATGGCACTAGGGAGGGCAGTATGGCACTACGGAGACAGTATGGCACTAGGGAGGACAACATGGGAGGACAACATGGCACTAGGGGAGGACAATATGGCACTAGGGTAACATGGCATTAGGAGGACAACATGGCACTAGGGAGGACAACATGGCACTAGGGGGGACAAACATGGCACTAGGGAGGACAACATGCATAGGGAGGACAACATGGCACTAGGGGAGGGCAGCATGGCACTAGGGGAGTGACAACATGGCACTAGGGAGGACAACATGGCACTAGGGCGGGACAACATGGCACTAGACAACATGGCATTAGGGAGACAACATGGCACTAGGGAGGACAACATGGCACAGGGAGGACAAATATGGCATTAGAGGACAACATGGCACTAGGGAGGGCAGCATGGCACTAGGGAGGATAACATGGCACTAGGGGAGGACAACATGGCACTAGGGAGGGCAGCATGGCACTAGGGAGGACAACATGGCACTAGGGAGGACAACATGGCACTAGGAGGATAACATGGCACTAGGGAGGACAACATGGCACTAGGGAGGATAACATGGCACTAGGGGAGGATAACATGGCACTAGGGAGGGCAGCATGGCACTAGGGAGGATAACATGGCACTAGGGAGGATAACATGGCACTAGGGAGGACAGCATGGCACTAGGGAGGATAACATGGCACTAGGGAGGATAACATGGCACTAGGGGATCAACATGCCGCTCCAGATGACATTATGGCACCCGAGGCATTAGCAGGACACCTCAGAGAATAATATGGCACCCCAGAAGTATAAAGCCAATAGATCATATGGCACCCAAGAGGATAACATGGCATCCTCAGAGATTATAGTAACCCTTAAGGACAGCATGGCACATCGTATAGTGATCAAGCCACTTACAGAGGATAATATGGCACACCCTACAATAATCATGGCACTCCCAAAGAACAACATGGCACCACAGAGGATAATATGGCACACCCTACAATAATCATGGCACTCCCAAAGAACAACATGGCACCACAGAGGACAATATAACACACCCTAGAGTGATCATGACACGCAGAGGACAGCAAGACTCAAGGCCATAACGCACCTTACATAGGAGGTACCGTTGGGTCCTGATTGGTCGGCTTGCTGGGTGAGCACCTCCGAGGGCTGGATGATGTAGCTGCTGGCAGAGCCTTGTCGACTCTGCTTCTTCCGCATATACTCTTGTACCACCTACGGGAGTCACACACAAAGAAGGCCATCAATTAAGACTGGCCATTCTATTCGATGATTCTTGTAGCGAAAAGCGTAGCGATATATTTCTTTATTCGGAGGAGCTAATAATGTAAGTGTTTAAATAGGGTGAAATAACTAGGAAAAAAGAAAGTATAGTTAGTAGGAAGTGAAAATTTATATCTTAACTACCAAATTTAATAAAAAAAATTATTCGAATATGAAATAATAAGTTTACTGGATATTAACAATTATAATTTATAGTATAGGAGAATTCAAATTAGAGCCTAATTTGCCCAGATCCTTCATAAACACGTAAAGACAAAAATATTACGACGAGGAAGAGATGTTAAGTATTATTATCGAACTACTGTATTGGGACAAAGAAATGGGCTTTACCACACTTAAAGTTTCAAAGTAAAGTAATGTAAAGTAAAGCTGTATATGGTCACCATAGTTCCAGAATCTTTTTTTTTATTTATTTTTTGACGGGAAGCTCATTAATATTTTGTTTTAATCCACAGAATGCAAATCTGGTGTCTGGGCAACGTAAAATAAATGCTTTGAATTAACTTCCTGCAAACAAGACAGAGGAGGAACCTAACCTAACCTAACTTCTGTTTAGGGTAATACAAATCGTCCACAGTCTTAATCACTTACGTTACATGAGACCCAAGACGGAACTCACCTCACTGTAGCGACGGTCTGTGCTCCTGGACACCGGCAGCGCCTTAGTCGTAGGAATTTCATGACTGCAAACACAAGGATGGCGTGAATGTTCGACGGTCGATAGTTACTCAGCTACATCCTAGATTAAGTTACTGGCTGGATAATCTATCGTATAGCTAATAGGTTTATTAAGATATGTCATTATTCAGTTATGTTACAAATATACAAGTACATCATCACTATTAATGGTGTAAATAACGGCTAATACCAGAAGTTGTTTGTTGATTTTCTTTATTTTTGCTTTACTTATTGTTTTGATTATTTTAAATATATTAAAAGATACGACAACTTTCTATTATGATTTTAAGTAGTTTATTTTTTTACTCTATCCCGCTTCACAATTCTCCCCCCGGCGCCATTTTTGTTGTTTATCTTACTGAATCCCTCTTCAAGAGACGTTTCCTAAATGATTGTGAACGCTTCCACGAATTCCTTCTATGGATATATTAGGTCAGGTTCTATTAGGTTCTATGCATTGTCGTTTCCATTTTTGTGTTTAATATCATATTAGTGAGTAGAAAAAATTCATCCAATTCGGACAATTCCTTCTGGTGGTAGCCGTTATCTAGGCCCTAATGGATGATCCAAGTTAAGTAGTGTGTTTACATCTGAGTAAAGTCTATTGTCAACTACGAACACCTTGTAAACGAGATTATTACTGCAGGTAAGAGCTACACACACACCTTAACAACGTCTTCACACATCCAACAGGTAGGCTTCACATCAAATAAACAGATATTATCAATTTTCTAATCATCAACACCAAAAATAATCTAAGACACTGGTGAACATTATAACACTGAAACACTAATTCCCGGTGACAATAACAGCATTAACGTGTATGTCGTAATAACTCCGCAATAAACACAGATTAACACTCATTTAACATACCTTTCTTTCGCAGATTTCGGTACCTCGACGTTGGACATTGTAGCATTAACTTGACGCTTAATAAATGTGTAACTCCTGTTTCTGCTACACCCACGGCGCTCTTCAGAGACACGTCCACCTTCCCTCACTTCACTCGGACAAAAGAATAAATGGATACTAAACAGAGGCAACGATCAAAACTGTTCCGAAATAGCGACCAAAACAGTACAGGAACAAGAACGAGCTATAAGTTGAGACATTTCGAACCTAAGTCAAACTTCACGGTGCAGTAATTCATTTGTAGAAGTGTTCATGATACCACAATAATCGTTAAGCATTATGAAACTCCATCAAATTGATCTAATACATAACAAACTACTGTACACTGTAAACACACCAATTTGTTTATAGTATTTGTAGCTGAAAATATAAGTATCCATGAACTTTGCTTTTCGGTGTATCGGTGAATATGAAACAATGAATCTTTACATGAACACAGTTTCCTGCATAGCGCAAAGAGGAATTCTGGGTAAAGACTAAATACAGACTCTGTACTAATGAGACTAACAGGAGAGTATTCTTGACATTAATACTGTTCCATGCTTATAAACCTCCTCTAAATGATACTCTTCTGTGCGTAATTATGCAGCATAACGATATGGATTACAGTCTTATAATTCACGTGACGCCATTGTTCTTGTAAAGTTATCAACACAATCAGTAAGATAAGATCACTGGGGCAATCACAAACAACAACGCCATCACCGCGCTGTGTTCACCTCTCCGAGCAAGTGCAGCCATGAAGGTGTTATTACCTTTAGTGTTATTAATATGTGTGGCTTACGGGGTGGTACAGGGAGACAACATCACAGGTAAGCTTCTGTCATGAGTGTATGGAGGTAAGTGCTGTCATGTGCTGGCGTAGAGGAAGATTTCGTCACTGGTTCGGAAGATTTCGTCACTAGTTCGGAGTGTGTTAAGTTTAGCGCCTTGAATTTCATAGCGAGTAACATGTCTAAATTGGATGACATATATTGAATAAATGTAGAACCTTTAATGCCTCTGTAACCGAATATAATTCTCAGATTGTGTGGCTGAATATCTTGGCTGTGAGGGTAGATTAATATTAAATTGAAAGCGTTATAATAGGCTGTTAGATACGATACGCCATCTATGGGGAAGAATTTAAGTACTATATACTGTAATAGTGCTGGGTCGTGGAGCAGAATGTACTGTAATATCATCTAATGACTTCAGATCACAAGAGTCTCCTCCCGAGGTAACGGTGGGAGGAGATTCTTCAGCTGAAACTGGAAATAATTACATTAAAACATTTTGCTACACAATGCTAAGTGAATACTGGCGGTAATGATGACCATACTACGTAAATGCCTTGATAAATAGACCACATATAAATGTATCTTATTGTATTCTATTGTCTAGTAATTTTTAGGGAAAAGTTACGACATTATAGTTTGTTGGGAACTATACCATGTTGGTTGTATTTTTGTAACAATAATCGAAGTATGTAAAGTCTGGCTACATGAAATTCCAAGTGTTGGATGTCTGAACGGCTGTGGTGTAAGTGCTCTCATAATCAACCTGTGTCAGCTATTCCACCAAGTGAAAATAATCATAATCTAATCAAAATGAAAAAAAAAACAAATAAGCTAAGCTGGTCTCGCCTCCTCTCTCATAAATTACGGTGCTAGTCAGTATTATAACCCGGGTACAGTAGAATAATTTGGAGGGTAAAGATACGCTTCACTGAGGGGTGATGTCAACATGTACTGTACTTTCAGTGTTTTGTGGATCAGGAAGACCTAGAAAAATATTTACAGGTGGTTGTTACAGGACATAAACAAAAGTTGATTAATTATCTTGTGGTTCGTTGGCTTGACTACCTAGCAAGAGTAGTTACTAAATTATAACTGAGTAGGTTAAGAGGGGCGCATGCGTCAGAGGAACGAGTGGGATCCGCGTGTGGCGCTCAGTTGTGATTATCAATGGATAAGGTTATCTTTCTTTATCTAAATGTTAGTGGAAACCTAGAGTCACGTCTCGCATGACAGCCACTTGTAAATACTTTTTTAAGTGAGCTCAACTAGACTTATATACCACGTCGACGCTCCCAAATGTATTCAGTACCTGGAGAGTATATACGAGGCTTCTAATTACTCATTCCTCAAATTATTCCTATGATTACTTTTCTTTGTTTTCCCACACTGAGACAGATTTTATTCATAATATTACTAAATCTGAATCAAAATGGTGCCATTCTAATGAAAATAGATCCTGTCTCATCATAATTACCCCTTTCTATCATACAACAGAAAGGAGATGTTTTCATTTCTTTCTCTTGTTTCATCAGTTAACAAGATCTCTCTTCCCCAGGTCCCAATGCGGAAGTAACATCAGCGGACGAGCCCTCCCAGCAACAAACCCTCACTAAGAAACTGAAAGAGCTGAGACAGACAAAAATTAAGGCTAAAAAAAATGACCAACCAGAGAGCGGAGATGAGCCCGTACATACACCACCTTTAGCAGGGGTTAAGGTCAAGCCCGAGGTAACGAAGGATGAACCTGAATCTCCTGCTGTATCAGATACTGTTGAACCTGAAGCAGAATCACCATCTGCTGAAGAACCTGAAACCCCAGAGGCTACCGAAAGGCCAATTCCAAAGCCAACGCCAAAGGCTACCGAAAAGCCAACTCCAAAACCAACTCCAAACTTAACGCCAAAGGCTACCGAAAAGCCAATGCCAAAGGCCACCAAAAAGCCAACTCCAAAGCCAACTCCAAAGGCTACCGAAAAGCCAACTCCAAAGGCTACCGAAAAGCCAATGCCAAAGGCCACCAAAAAGCCAACTCCAAAGGCTACCGAAAAGCCAACTCCAAAGGCTACCGAAAAGCCAACTCCAAAGGCTACCGAAAAGCCAACTCCAAAGCCAACGCCAAAGGCTACCGAAAAGCCAACCCCAAAGGCAACGCCAAAACCAACTCCAAAGCCAACGCCAAAGGCAACGCCAAAACCAACACCAAAGGCAACGCCAAAACCAACTCCAAAGCCAACGCCAAAACCAACACCAAAGGCAACCCCAAAGGCAACGCCAAACCCAACTCCAAAGCCAACGCCAAAACCAACTCCAAAGCCAACCCCAAAGGCAACGCCAAAACCAACTCCAAAGCCAACGCCAAAACCAACACCAAAGGCAACCCCAAAGGCAACGCCAAAACCAACTCCAAAGCCAACGCCAAAACCAACTCCAAAGCCAACCCCAAAGGCAACGCCAAAACCAACTCCAAAGCCAACGCCAAAACCAACCCCAAAAGCCACTCAGAAACCAACTCCCAAAAAGCTAGAACCGGCAAAACAACCTCTGCCTCCCGGTGCAATATTTCACGCACACAACAGGAAACCTGAAGCTACCGTAGCTACGCTGACGAAGGCTGTAACAGAGAGCAAGCAGAACCAACACCTCGACACTGTTCAGAATCAATTCCCAGCGAGGTAGAACTTTTCTTCGTTAGCTCTTATCTGCTTATTGTTTTATATAGTAATAAATAATGATCAAAGCCGTGTGTGTGTGTGGTTGTTTGTGTACAATGCAAATATACACACATTCTCTTGTTCCTGGCAATAAATTCTTATAGGTTATTATCATTATTTAAGGGTGACTTGTCTAATTACTTCCCGTGATTTTCTTTCTGGACGAGAACGCCATAAATAGCCTAGTAACTTCTCTCTTTATATTACAGGGCTGCCAACATACACTCAGGCGGGAATTCTCTGTCGACCCACACCAAGGTTATCCTCGTATCGTTGTCCATCATCACTATTGCTCTCACCGTCACCGTTATTGGCGTCTGGTTCAGGAGAATAAAGTAATTATTTCAGTTGTTGGAAGAGATTTCACCTTAAGTTAATAATAATAATAATAATAATAATAATAATAATAATAATAATAAACTAGTTAACGTTAATCTGAACTCAATTTCTCAGGAATTTAGCAAAGTGACATTAAACAAAGTAACCTAGCATAGAATAACTTAGCTTAAATTAACCTAAACTAATTTAACTTAACTTAAAGTATTCTAAAGTGATTTAACATTGGCTAACCTTCAGTGCCCTAAACTGCATTTTAACCTAACTAAACGAAATACGAACTAATATAATCTAGCCAATCCTAAAGTCCACAGTCGTCCACTCTCAACGTTCTTAGGCAGTTTTTACCAAGCCTCCATCCCAGACTCTGCCTTCCCCTGGTCCTCCTACCCTTAACTTTGTCCATTAGTGGATGAGTGGAACAAGTTACCAAACATCATCATTAACTCTAACACGCTGGGTAGCTTCAAATATAGGTTGGACGTATATATGAGCAATAGGGGTTGGGTGTAAACGGGACTGCCCAGTATGGGCCAATACGCCCGATGCAGTTTCCTCCATTCTTATGTCCTTATTAATATTTCTGTTATTATCCCCTCATCCCTAATTATATGATCAAAGTATCTAATTACGTTTTCTGTACACTTCAAGTATTTCTCTAGCTTTCCTGTTAATGTAACTTATTTTTAGCATTCGCCTATAACACCACCTGTCCCCTTTTATTAAGTCTTTTAGTTTACTCAATGCTGTTTTTGCTTGACCTATTCTTGTTATGATTAATTTCACACATCTACCATCCCAGTTGATGTTATTTCCTAAATACACACAATTTTCCACTTGTTTTAGTTCCCCGTTGCCTACCATAATTTTTATTTTAGGATTTATTTATCATCTAACCATACTCTAACCTCACCTAACCATACTCTAACCTCATCTAACCATAACTCTAACCTCACCTAACCATACTCTAACCTCACCTAACCATAACTCTAACCTCATCTAACCATAACTCTAACCTCACCTAACCATACTCTAACCTCACCTAACCTTACCCCTAATCTCTCCTAACCTTATCCCTGTATCCCCTAACCTTACCCTAATCTTCCTTATCCTTACCTTAAACTCATCTTTGTGTCTGTATTACTCTGGCTAAAGTATAAATAAGAATGTCTCAATATGTGTCTGTACCGGCAGCCTGTACACCGCGCGGTACGGGAGACACACACTGCTGGAGGAGAACGACGAAGAATTTGGCGTCTTCAACCGACTCACTTACAACTCATATGATGACAACTCCTACGAGTCATGGAAGAATCACACCTACTGAACCCCCGGGCATGTTTACCAAGTCTGACATCATAATAGCACCATAGATATTTACGTCATATGGAAAGATTTGGTTAGGTTGCAGGAGTAGCCAGAGTTATTACTTCACAATGCAGTACGCGACTTGGCCAATCAGATTGAAGTATTTGTTTATGTTAATGAGTGAAGCTTCTTTTAATTGTTCATGGCTTTGGAAGGTTCATACCCGCCATATACAAGTGAAGAAAGTCAAACAGATAACTCGACCAGTGATACCAACTTCCAAAATTCATAAAGTGAAGCATTTTATTTATTCAGATGTCGACAAATATTAGGAAAGAAGCAAAAATCCAAAATGCCTAACTACAGACAAGATATATCACCATAGTCTTAGATTTTATCATCAGAAAGTGTTTCAAACATACACTTTCAACATCAATAGTAAAACAAGATTAATTTACAAAGTACTGTACATAAAAACACAGAGAAAAAAGTCTTCCAAGTCACTACGCACTAAGGCTATACGTTTAAGTGTTGATATGTGAACTAGTTAAGTAAGTAATGTTAATTTGTATCTACAGTATATGTATTTTTCGTCAGTTTTCTACATCACTATCCAGTAAATGAGATGCACAAGTTTATCCCCAAAATATACAAATGTACAGAACATAACCAATATAAAACTGTATCAAGTCTCAGTTACAAAGGTAACAGGATACTCAGGACAGCAACAAATGGAAATTACAAATACTCAATACCGGAAATATGTGAACCAAAATATACGCGAAGACTATTTATCCGTGATGTAAACAAAAGATGTGGTATGAACTTGGTTTTGAGAAATATGAATGTGGGACAGTGTAGAAAAGTATTAAAACCGTTTGGCAATGAAAAAAAGATAATGGGAAATTTAAAAACATCTAATATACTATAGGACTAGCCGTCTGTCTGTCTGTTCTGGGCAACCGAAACGGCACAATCATTTTTCATCAAACTTGGTGGAAAAATCGCAAAAAAATCGTAGATTGGAACAAACCTGGTCCCATGTCGATGGTTTCTTTAGGAAGGCATTAATTAACCATTTTATTTCCGATGGAAAACGATGCAAGTCTACGGACTTGGCGCACCCTCATTCGCTGTACGCTGTCACGAGCGTTATAACTTTCACAAGGGCACGTAGGGCCCGCGATCACTTGTCTTATTCTATACACAACCCCACGTTCACATCCAAGACAGAATGGTAAAAAAAATTAATTTGATGAAACTGTATCCTAACTACAATGTAAAAAAAGGATAACTATTAGAAATTCATATAAAATTGAAGGTGTTATAAATAATAAATAATGGAGAATTGGTGTGGCTGACTGCTTTCCGAGCGAGTCACTTCTGGAGTTCAAAATTGGTACAAAACTGTTTGGGGGGAACTTTTGTGTGTTTGTGTAAATAGGACGTTTAGAGGGTGTGTGTGTGTGTGTGTGTGTACCTTTTAATCTTTATGTGGGATGGGGAGACTAACCTAATCTAACCAAACCCACCTAAGTTTTTTGCATGTTAAAGTTGAATGATTTGAAGCTGATATGGCAAGGATTTTTGGTCCCATAAACACCTTCTAAACTTTTTTATAAAATTTCCGAGACAGTATCGTACCCAATCAGAATGCTCTGCAAGCTTTGAAATAAACCAAAGCGACTTCACTGCTTGAGGTTTGCACGACTTATAAGTTGTCATTTTATATAGTGTACACAATACAACCGAATACAAATATCTATACCTGTACAGCTTATGCAACTTCATGCAGTACATTAGTTAGTGTTTTAAATTTTACTGAATTTTTTCCGTTTTTTAGTCATCACAACTAATCATTGAAGCAGTGCTGAAATTTTGCGCCTTTGTAGTCTTTCATGTTTTATGTTTTCAGGTTGTGTAAAATCAAACAACTGCCAGCGCCCTAGAACACTGAGTAACTGGCTACTTCATGAGAACTTCTTGTACCTTTACGACTAACTCTTGATCATGCTTATTTCCCGTCATTTCTATGTTTATAAGCGACATTAGACTGTACGCTCTCCTCAGGACAGGGGGCAGAATATTTTTTACCAATGACCAAAACCTTAATTAATACTGAATTGTTAATGTGAGTTATTTTACATTTAAGCAAGCAAAAATATTCCCATACTCCTGACTGAAGTGCTGTGTTTGTGTTAAGATTGCTGTACACCCTGTAGCCTTGCTATCGTCTGGTGAGAAAACTGTGCTGTGAAAAGGTGATAATATTACTACGCCGTTGGTAGTGCCTTACTAGGATATGTGATTGATTAGAATGTCATGTTGAATTATGCAGAAAATATACTTGTTTTGTGACTTATCTGAACAATAATAAACTGGTATAAATATTTTTTGTTTTTATCTTTATTTAGTGATATCCTCGCCTCGTCTCTCCCACAGTGGTCAATTAGCGTGCACTGAAACTCAATATATGACAAGAAAGAATGTTTACTCTTCACTTTAATTGTTATTATTCAGTGGATGAACCTGGTAAACTAGTGAATAAAAACTTTTAGTTGTCGAAGCACAGAAAAACATGTAAACAACGTATCATTTCTCTATAATCTCGACTTTAACTCGCTTTCTGTTCTTAAGGATGTTCCATATCTCACTTGACGTCGAGCTTTTAATGATTACCACCAAGCTTTGTTTGGAGCCTGTGTGTGTGTTTATAATGCATCACTGGTCCTAAGAAATTCCTTGAAATAGCCTGTCAGAGAATGTTGTGACTGCACCGAGTGTGAGTTCATTTCAGACCAGACTTGACCAACACTAGTGTATATTCAGGTACGTTCTAGTACTCGCACATGGCCAGTACTTGCCAACAGTGTGTAACAGAGAAATTACCGTCCGCCCGACTGGCTAGAGTCAACAAATGGCGAATAAAGTAACTAAAATACTATAAGGAAATCTCAAAAATAACAATTTGGAAAATATTTGATAACAAAATAACAAATAAGATGACATAAAAAAAATCCCAATTTCAAAAAAAAAATTATTCTAAGTTACAAGTGAAGCTGAAGTGGTGGAGAAGGTAAATAAAAGGTGTCCTTTGAACTTGGTGATAGGTAATGAGTGGGTCAGCGAGTGTTGGCGGATTATGTGATCAATAGTGTCGTTTCCCTTCTCAACTAATCTTCCGTTTTCTTTGATACAATTCAACTCTAGTATTTATATTATTATCCTAGACTTTATTGAATCGTGTAATAGGAACTAGATTTTTTTCTCCATATAAATTCACATTAGTTTGAAAATAGAGTTTTATCTCATATTTTGTTATTGTTGATGAACTAGTATATTACTAAACTTGTTATGCACTTGAACATCTTAGTTATTGAAGTGAAGTAATAATATAACAACAAAAACAGCATTGGTTTAAAATATATGTAAACCACGGACATTAAAACAGTGGATAACAGTAGGTAGTAGGTAGCTACCAAACAGGGAGGTACTAGCGCCTGGGAAGATATTGGGAGCATAATGTGTTGTCTAATGGTGGACCCTGCTGCCATATGTGACCAAGTCCCGGGTTGCTGATGGGCTCCAGTTCCAGTGGTCTGAGGCGAGTAGAGGCGGGCGTCGGTGCAAGGAGTACAGCGACGACATGGCAGCTTCAGCACTCACAATTCCAGCAAGTTAAGCCTAACAGGTGACACTGAACATGCATCGAAGACTTTTAAGCAAAAATTTGACCTCTTATGTATTTGGCTACAGGCTTGAAGAGGAGGTCTGACGAGGAAAAAGTTGCTCTTCTGTTAACCATGAGAGGGGATGAGTTGCTTGATACATACAATTCATTTGAGTTCCCTACACCAAGTGGTACCCAGCCAGACCCAGTCAAAGTGTTGCAGAATGTACTAGAGAAGTTTGACGCACACTTTGCACCAAGAAGGAATATGTTGGCTGACAGGTATAAATTCAGAAAGTGTGTACAGCAAACAGGAGAACCTCTGGATTCATTTTTCACAAAGCTCAACATTCAAAGCAAAGAATGCGAGTATGGTGACCAGAGAGAAGATGGAATGAGAGACAAACTAGTATTTGGATGCCTAGAAGATTCCCTTCGTGAGAAGTTCGTCAAAGAAGAGGACCTCAGATTTAGTGCAGCTGTGAAGATATGTGTGGCCCATGAAGCATCAAAGAAACAGATGGCGGTGTTTCGAAACGAGGGTCCAGCAGCTGTCAACAAGGTGACTCTGAAGAAGCATATGCAGAAGAAGATGTTGTTGATGTTACGATGTATTACTTCACTGCTTCCACCAACTAAAGTCTTTAAGCACGTATTGTAGACTAGATGAGACCCTTGACATCTACAATAAAAAAAATAAGAGAGTAACATTACCTGAGTGTTCTGTATTCCTGTCAGTCCGTGCTATAGTGGGGAGAGTGGGGAACAAGTTTTCGAGTGTTGATGTTGGCACATTTTATCAATATTTTGGACCAAATTATCCCAGGATTAAATGTTTTGCCTCAAAGATTATGTCAATGTTCGGAAGTACATATGTCTGTGAACAACTCTTTTCTGTGATGAACTTGAACAAGTCTCGGCTTCGGCCTCAACTTACTGGTGCGGACCTTAATTCAATACTGAAGGTTGCTACAGCTCAGTCGTTAGTGCCAAACTTTGATGCCCTGGTCCACACCAAGAGGTGCCAATTATCAGGAAGCAGCAGTAGCAAACAATAAGATTGATCAAGGTAAGTAAACACTTGATTTGTTTGTTTTTAAGGGTTTCGCACGAGGGCAGACTAAATCCACCTTTCTTATCTTGTCGCACTCCTCACCTAAGAGGTGATTGCGAAGTGCTCATAATTATGTCACTTGGCCCGCATACTGTGTACTCGTATTAAATCTGGCCCGCCTTGGCAAATGAGTTTGACACCCCTGCCTTAGCAGATACAGTATGTTCATAGATTCTAACAATAACATTAGGTTCCGTCTGCAATCTTCAAGAGCCAAGACTAAGGTAAGCAACAGGAATATAAATGAATATGTATTTTTAGATCACTCACTATAAGAGAATATCATGAAGACCAGTAAGCGATATAACATTACTTCTTTGATCTGGCAGCAATCCTAGTGCTATCGATAATACCACAAGCAGTTATTTCCTCACACACAGCAAACACCAACATAATGTAGTATAGCGTTTAGTTATCTCGTGTACCGCCCAACAGTATTACAAAGAAGCCACCGTAATATTATTCTTATTAGTGTCATGTTTCTTTATTTGTCTAGCTAGAGCAACACACACACACACACACACACACCGAAGGGTCAAGACGTACCTGGCGCTCCTCTCGGAGCAGCCAGGTCAACTGTTAAGTTGGCCCATACCAACCCCCTCCCCTGAACCCTCCTCCCCACCGGAATATCAACAAGTTCTCGCCAGAAGTTACAATTTCATTTAGGAAAGGAACGGAACCAGTGTTAACCAGAGGTGAACAGTGGTGAACAGTGCTTAAGTCAGTGAGAACAACTCAACAGTAACAGTCGTACCCAAGTGAGGTCCCAGGTACCCAGTGATAACGGCCCGTGAGACCCAACAACAACCAGCGATGTGTTAATCCGTCTACGACAGGAAGGCCTAAGACCAAACCTCACTCATATAACACCATCTGTGAGGGAATTACTACACCACATGTCCCTCATAACACCATCTGTGAGGGAATTACTACACCACATGTCCCTCATAACACCATCTGTGAGGGAATTACTACACCACGTCAGGCCCCTCATAACACCATCTGTGAGGGAATTACTACACCACGTGATGCCCCTCATAACACCATCTGTGAGGGAATTACTACACCACGTGAGGTCCCTCATAACACCATCTGTGAGGAATTACTACACCACGTGAGGTCCCTCATAACACCATCTGTGAGGGAATTACTACACCACGTGAGGTCCCTCATAACACCATATGTGAGGGAATTACTACACCACGTCAAGTCCCTCATCACACCATCTGTGAGGGAATTACTACACCACGTGAGGTCCCTCATAACACCATCTGTGAGGGAATTACTACACCACGTCAGGTCCCTCATAACACCATTTGAGGGAACTACTACACCACGTGAGTTCCTCCTAACACCATCTGGGAGGGAGTTACTACACTACGTGTTTGCTGTTCAACACCTACAATAATCTGTATGTTCACTGTATGTTCCTTTACCTTTCTCTAATGAAGGCTTTTGTTAAACACCAATGTATGTAATAAGTTATTTATGTCCAATGTATATTTTCAGCCTTCGGGCTGCAGAACTTTTTCAATAAACCGTTAATTATTATTATTATTATTATTATTATTATTATTAAGTCACCCATTTGGAAGATGAAATACAAACGGACAATGTCGTCATATGTTCAGGGCAACAGACGTGAGCTGAAAGATGGATGCTTGTGTGTTATTTTTCACTGTTAAAAACTGTACTGATATTTTTACTTTTTGTTTACGAAATATGGATTTTTTTTTATTACTATAACTTAATGGATAGTAGTTCATATAGGGGTTAAAGTTACCATTTGATTTAATGTCTTTTCCAATTATAACACAACCAAATAATACCTAAATTATGTTAGGAGTGTTATTATTTTATAGGTTGATATATGTTCACCACTACTATAGTTTGTCCACACTTCTAACCGCTGTTTTAATCACTGATGTAACCTGTAATTAAGTACATTTCTATGCTAGTGACTGGTCGATAGTGAGGAAGTTTTGTGTTACCTACAAATTGAATGCATCATAACACATATTTGAAACATTACATAAACTAGTACAGCAAATATATGTAGTGAAGATACTGTTGCGTAACTACACCTGAGTCCTCACTCACCAGAAACACGCGCCTAGGTTATGATGGGTTGCTGAGGCCACCTATCCCCGCCCCTGATTGGCTGAGACGAATTGTTATCATCAAATTACTGGCTGAGGCCTCTCCTTCCCGGCGCTGATTGGCTGAGGAGCTCACACTATATACCTACACCTCCCCAACCTGTTGTATAAAAAGGGTGAAATTAACCCAATGTTGTAGCTATGCAGAGTTGAAGTGGCAGTCACCCAGGGCTGTGATGTAATGTATGTGCTGTTTGATACACAAATACATACACTTGCTCACGTAAATACACACCCAAATTAACTACACCGTCCACACAACTAACAACTACATTCTGTTTACTATTAAAGGAAAAAAATATACTGATAACCACTAAGTAAAAACACGGAATTGTCAAGCACTTCCGTGTAATTCACATATTCATTAGCTGAACACAGACCTAACCTAACTTAACACCAACAATAACGAGAATTTTAAATAATAATTACTAACGTATTCACTAA